TAATGGATAAGTTCATGGTAGAATAAAAAGTATACGAGATGAGTCAAAGTTTCATTTTCATTTTATGGATATCTTATGTGTCAGAATTATATTTAAAAACCGCTTACAAACCATGGTTTTTTCAGCTCAGCTTAGATCGAGATGAGTTCGAATTGGCAGAAGAACAATTGGCCGGACGCATTATAATTTATTACCCAGCCGAACCACCTTCAGTATTGATACAACCCTTACATAGTCTCCTTTTTTACCTTGAAGGTGGAAGCAGTACAACTATTATTTAGTTAATTTACAAATATTTAATATTAGAGCATTTACACTTATGGAATATTGCCAAGTCTTTTGTAATCAATTTTTTCAAGATGTACTAATGGTTTTAATTGTTCAGCAAATATACGCATTTCATCTCCAATCGCGTCCTGTCCATTTGGCGCTAATACCGATAGTTCCACCAAATAGCTGTTACACACTGGTTCACTGTCATTCTGTTTTCCAGGAATAATTTTAAATATTTTCGCCACCGTAATTTTCATTCGGCCTTTGCGAAACAAGAATCCTTGGCTAACGTACTCAAAATCTACTCTGCAACCCAATTCAGTTAGGAATTCAAGAACGGTTGATGTGCATCCCACATCGATGCTGGATCGTACCAAAGTTGGCCTAGATCGATCTAGTTCGGGTTGTCCGATATATCTGAGTTGAAATGGCAAATCCCGAGTGCCCAGTGCTCGGCGAACACGTACTTGTAAGGGAACCTGATTCGGCTGCCTCATGCTCATACATACTTCCAAATCATGAAATGTCTCGGGTACATTTTCCACGTTATCGCACAATCCACGAAGCCTGCAATAAAAATAATATCTGAGTTATTTTCTGGCAAATGCTTTTGCACGTCCTCCATACCGGTGAATTAAGTGTTCAACAGCAGATGCAATAATAGATCCCTGGAGTAAGTACTCCTGGTTGGCCTGACTGACCGATTCTTTTGATGATGCGACCTGGGCCATGCTCATTGAATTCATCTTAAATTTATATTCATTTAGCAGGACACACAATATAAATATAATATACTTTAATATATTCAAAGATGAAACAATTCACTTCCCAAGCCAGTACCAGATTAACAAGGAAACTCGACTGGATTACAAAGCCACAAAGCTCCCATTGACCGCCGTAGTAATGAGAAACAACGACCAAAGCGGATATGCGTAATAAAGATCGAAATCAAAATAAAAACGATTGCCTCCTATAGGGATCCGGAGATCGAATGTGTTCTTTTACAGGGTTGTGTAAGACGAATTTTCTCCAACAAAATATACTTATGTGATGTTCACTGAATGATCAAAGGAACTTCAACAGCCAACTGTTACTACACTCGACTAAAATTGTTACATTCTTGCAATTCTAAAACAGACCATGAATGTTGTAAATAATACTGTAAATGTGCCTAGACACACTATAAGAATATTTTCAAACTTGGTCTGTAGTGGCACGTACAAAATTGAATGAGAAATTTTCTAGTCGATTGCATTTAAAAATATTATTTTCTGTTCAGACTTGTAAATAATTTAAACAAATTTAACCACATTGTAAAATTAAGAAGGTAAAGTCATTTCAAATAAGCATTCCCATCTTTGAATTTTCTGTAATTTAGCTTGTCAAATTTCACTGTATGGAAAGCAGGTTCTAATCTCTGATTTGTGTACGTACATTGGATTTATAAATACACATTTTGACAATGAGATGTTGTCAAATGAATAATTTTAAAAAATTAAAAACATATGATTGATTATATTGTGGGTACATAAGCAGCTTGGCATCATGGCTAGGCATATCAATGTTAAATTGCAATGAAAAACGACGACAGGATTTCAGTACGGATCTGACATAACATATTTATAATATGTCACAAAATATGCTTTAATCCATCTGCACTTTTTGATGAAATAACAGAGGAATGTAGAAAGCCTGGTTTAAATTATTAACCGAATTTAAACAAGGTCATTCTAAATGCATATCTTGTGACATTTCATAGGGTATTACAGAGCCGCACTAAAATCCTGCCATCGTTTTCCATTGTAATTTTACATTAATATGCCCAGCCATGACTTCAAGCTTTTTATGTACTTGTACCTTAAACTCTTTTGCTCCAAACATGCTACAATAATGACGTAAAACCGCTTGCTATGCATGCTTCCTGTCAGAATTATTCAAAATTATACGCAACAAGTTATTGCCATTTTTTTGATATTTTTCCTTATTTTCAATTTGAATGAAATGCATCGTTTGCTTTCAAAAATATTATCCAAACTGTTCAATCTTTCAATTTCATGGCAAAACTGGTACAATGAAATAAAGGTAACTTCATTTCAAATTAGAACTCCTGTAATTTTCCTTGTCAAATTTCATTGCATAAAAAACAGTTCCCATCGCTGATTTTGTGTGTATATAATGGATTTATGAATATAGATTTAGACAATAAGACGCATGCATTGTACAATACTTTAAACTCCAGAAGTACACCCCAGAGGCTATGCCCGCTCCTGTCAGACTCATTCAAAATTATATGCAACATTTAATTGTCATATTTTTTCTCATTTTTAAAATGAGTTAAATAGCGTGAAAAATGAATGAAATGCCTGGACTTTCACTTAAAATATGATCCAAACTGTTTAATCTTTCAATTTCATGGCTAATAGCTTTAATGCGCAAGCCGCAATCTACGTGTCTTCCAATCATTTGTTTTGAAAATATTTTGTTTTCATATTTCAAAACAGTAAATCCATGGTACAATAAGGAGGTAGAACAGCTTCGTAAAACTACAGAAATACAGCCCTGAGGCTACGCCCGCTTCCTGTCAGAATTATTCATAATTATATCCAACAAGTTGTTTTCATTTATTTGATATTTTTTGTTCATTTTTAAAATGAGTCAAATAGCGTGAAAGATGAATGAAATGACTGGACGTTCTCTCAAAAATATGATCCTTGACCCGTTCTTATATCTTCCCTTTATAGTCCACTTTTTTTATTCCTTACTTTAGGAAAAGTGAAGGATAAAAGTTAACTTTATCGGTTTCTCATTATTACATCTTTCCTTTAAAGTATATGCATTTCTTACAGAGATATGGCAAGCTTTTTGTAAAAGTAACTGGTAGTCACAACATTTTTTTCACAATGGCATCTTCATTTTTGGTTGAAAATAAACAAAACGAATTTGTAGTTAATTTCGATAAATAAATTTATAATTCAGTTCTTCAATATAAAATAAATGATTTGCGTTATCCATTTCTTTATTTAAATATATTTTGCTGCTATTGTCATATTATCAATATAAAATATGGCAACATGAAGAATCTACAAGTTTTGCAATTTTATTCGATATCATAAACGGAAAACCGGTTATCGTAGTAAAAACTTTTACATTCTTGCAGATCTGGAACAGACCAAAACTTATATAAAGGAGAATTAACATTCCTCATAATCCTGTAATGACTCAAAAGCAGGCGATATTCAACATATCTGACAAAGGCCAGCCCAAGGAACTTAATAACATTAACAATCACTACGGCGCAACCCAAACACATATCTAACAATAGTGTTAACAAGTTTGCGTACACACATGGCAAGCATTCGCCCCAGAGGTGGCCTCCAAATATTCATAAAGATCTGGCTATTATCATCCTAACACTAAGAGGCAAATTAGCTTGAAGACAGCAAGGAATCAACATGCGCTGAAAAATCAGGCTTGGTGTCAATGACTACACCTTTTACATTACACATTACTTTTTGTAATGAAATTTTTACAAATAATACAAATAAATTGGATCAGCTGTTATTTTACAATAAACTTACTGAGTAAATGCTACTGGAAAAATAAACGAACGAACCTATTAATTCAACAATTTTCGTCACACAGTAAGAGCACGTTTAGACTACTAACACCGTCCGATTTTATATGTAAATTCCATAGCTTGTACGCCACGTAAAACGTTCTCATATCCAGTGGATATATTATTTGATGTACGCTATCTAATTTACATTCGAGATCTAGAGGATATCGTAAAGTAAAGTACCCAAAAGTACTTTTAGTGTGCATTTACGTGAATGAGCAATATTTGCCATTTTTACAAATTCCTTTTTTAAAGTGCCCTGGAGACGTTCAAATTTTTTCGTCAAGCAGGTTATATGTGTGTGTCCATGTGAGTCTAATCGGCTTTTGTCAGCTTCACACATTTGTTGTCGGCTCTGCTTGATGGAAAATCAAAATATTTTGATATTTTTATTTGCGCAAATCTATTTGAACGTCTGCATTAGTGTTTGTCAAACAAAATGCCATTTGTGTTGTAACGTTGAGGAGTAAAAATGAATAGCGGACGAAAAAGAATTTACAATAAAATTTATTGAAATGTACCAATGCCTTGATGCATTGTGGAATGTGCGGACAGACGCGTACAGTAATAGGGAAAAAACAATATAATATACTCCTTGATTTTTATAAGTACCCCGATGGTACTGTTGAAGATATTAAAAAAAATTAATATATTAAAAATAAATATCCTCAAAAAATTTCTGTAGTCATCAACACTACTCATTCGCAGCTCCTTCAAAAGTTTTTCATGTGTAAATCGTTTGCGCTGTTCATACCACTTTTTCATCCATATTTTCTCTTTCTTTTTCATTTCCATTTTTTTTTAACACAACTGCTGTCACGAAAAGCCACTCATCTTCCGACGACAGCATGACTGCACTCAACGAAAATAATTACAAAAGGAATGTTTGACAAACTTGTTTGTACGTTTGCGGGCAAAACACGTAACTTCGTAAATACGCACTTGCTTGATGAAAAAATTTGAACGTCTCGACGGCACTTAATGTTTGTTCCTCAAGTTTTTTTCGTTCGAATAACTAAATTGGTTGAAAAGTCGACATCAAAATCGATTATCGATATTCTATCAACAAACAATCGAGTTAATCGATAGTTAACATAAGATGCCTATTCTGACTTTCGTGTTCATTCTATTTCCGGCAGTCGTTGAGGTGAGTCGTTTATCTGCAAGTAAAGGGCCGAGTGTTATTAGAAAAAAGTGAATTTTTGTGAAAAGAAAGTTAAAAGTGATGAGTGCTAAAACTGCTGTAAATGGTGGCGGGCCTTTGCCTCAGCGGCCGCAAAAAAATCAAGGAGACAAGAACCAAGACAAAGCCATGGATGGGCCAGCAGAAAAGAAACCTCGTTTTAATCAAGGAGGTGGCCCAATTCAGAACAATCAAAACCAAAATCAGAATAAAGGTTTTGGTGGAAATAAGAATAACCAAGCCTTCGGAAATAGAAATAAAAATCGTGGAGGTGGCAATCAGAACGCCAACAAAGGAAATTTCCAAAATCAACAGAATCAGGTAGGTACATTTATTATTTAAAGGCAGATTTTAAGCGAATTTAAAAAAAGAAATAATGTGATTGGAGGAAGAATATGAGACCGAAAATTATGTATAATACAAAATGGCTGCCGCCAGTATATACCTACCCCCTCGACCTCGTGTCGACCGGCATTATCTCTTACCTGGTACATAGTTGCCAACCATGTCATTGCCCACAGCGCAGTGTTGTATTTTGAAGAAAGTAATTTGTGTGCGTGGTTGTGTTGGGGTTTAGAAAAAGCGGATTTCCAAAAAAGTTAATGAATGCCATTTCTTTAAGAAAAATTATATAAATATTTTTCAAATGAAATATTTTATTTTAAATTTTCGTAGTTTTGAGAACAGGGAAAATAATAATGACAATAAGAATTTCGTTGGATTGATTTTCAACCCCATACTGCGCGATGAAAAGTAGCATCATTGTAGAGAAAATATTGTAAAAAAATCTGTAGTTATGTGAAATGTGTATTTTAAATTCATTTGACTTGTGATCAAATGTAATCAAAATACATAAAATATACGGTTTTGAGTTCATTGATTTTTTACAATTATTGATATTTGCTTGGCTTTCGTTGATAAAACTCGTTGGCTTTATTTTCAGTACGAATCGCACCAAGTTATCAATTTCATTGATGCGTGTTAAGTATATTTTTCTGAATTTAAAATGTAATATAAAAATCGCTGATTTAACAACATTTACAAAAGTTGTGCAAGGTATGAAAGAACATTTTAAATTTATCATCTACTCACTTTATCGTTGTAAAGTGCCCCCATCAGATTAATTTGACGAACAGTGTATTAAAATATACGACAAATAGATCCATAAACAATTAAACAAATTAGTGATTTCTATCGCATTCATTTTCTTTCGAAAAAACACACAAGCCCATAGTTCTCTACGAAGCGAAATACGCTATTAAAGTCCCACCATATTTGATACGGGTTAAGTACACTACAATTTTTCAACCAAATAGATTTGTTTCAAATAGTTTCATTTTACTTCAATAAACGCCAGCAAACCTTCACTACACAAATTGTAGTCAGTCTAGGTTAGGAGGCATCCTTACGGGCACATGGGCCTACAAGTTCATCTGTACAAGACGGAATGTGCAGATAACAGATGACGAAACGTTGGAGCATTTTCTGTGTCAATGCCCAGCGTTTGCAAATATCAGATCGCAATTCTTGGGTAACGATTCCATACCAAACCTTAAGACCTTAAGACTGTTAACTGACGCCTTCTTTTAATAATATCCTAGTCTAGAGCGCACAGCAGACCTATACTGACTCAAATTATGTCCAGAGGGGCTAAACTCTGTTCAACCTAACATAACCTGACCTAGGAGTTTATCGAAATATCTTGAATTTTTTGAATACATAATATGTCTCTTAATCAGAATCTAATAGTCTAACTTTAATAACAAACCTCGTAACCGTATTTGTCGTCTCATTTTGTACAACAAAAAGGATGCATCCAATAAGGTCTAATCTCTGCAAATTCTAATACTCTTGTCAGTCTTAGATAAAGTTCGAAGTTGTGTAATATCCGCCCATTACTTACTGTTCTGATACTCTTCAAACTGCGTAATCCAATTGTTTTGTCAACCCCAGATATAGAGCAGAGATGTGGACCATCTCAAATAGAGATGTGAAAAGCTCAAATAAATTGGTTGAAACCCACCCCACACATCGTAAAATTTATATCAACTTTATTTCAAGTGCGAAGATGGAATATATCGTCCAACTGCTTCGGGTACCTTATCTTCCACACTAAGGTAATAACTTGCAAACTATATTCTGAGGGTGGGTATATATCTGTCAAGCCAATCCATATTTTTAATGAGTTACAATCTAAGAGTAGGTTAGCATTTTGGTTCGATCCAATTCATTTGGTATGTTTAATTTTATAATTTCATATAACCATCATTTGCTGAATAGGAAACAATGACAAATAAAAATAAATGACGCAAAATGCCTTCTGTTGTCGGCATTAATGTTCGGGTTGATATTTTTAATATATGGATTGAATCGTGACTTTGTTGATTTTTGTTAGATTTTATATCAGTTTACAGATTAAAAAGTAGTAGTGGTAACAATCTAACAGTTAGAACTTAGTTTAGTTAAATTTATAACAAGCGATGTCGTCGAGGTTATATTACCCTATTTTGATGACAAAAGTACAATTTCATTCTATGAATACCAAAATATCTATATCTTTTCAATCTTACTCGTATAGAATCAGAATCAACAGAAACAACAGCAAGCTCAAGCTCAAGCAGCACCTGATCAAGCCACGGGCGGCGCAGCTGCTAAAGATGTTAAGGCTCAAGCGGAAAATAAACCAGCAAATACTAATGCTGGTCCAGGAAACGCTCCGCATCAACAAAATCAGCAAAATCAACAAAACCAACAAAATCAACAAAACCAACAAAATCAACAAAACCCCCAACAGAACAACCAGAACCAACAACAAAATAATCAGAATCAACAACAAAATAATCAGAATCAACAATTCCAACAAAACCGACAACAACATGGTGGTGGCGGCTTTGGCGGTGGCGGTTTTGGCGGTGGCAATAACAACAATGATGGCGGAATGGGCGGCAGAGGAGGCCAACGTGATCGTGGTCAAAAACGAGACCGTAACTTCGGAAATCGTGATGGTCGTGATGGTGGTGGCCCAAGAGGTGGAGGTGGCGGCGGCGATGGCCCACGTGGTGGTCGCAATGACGATTTCTTCGTTAATCAGCGCTTGCGTTCCATCTCTGGTCCCACCCACGAGCTTGAAGCTATTCAGGCCTCCGAGGAAAGCAAATTCTCTGGACGTAACCGTCTGTATGTCGGTAATCTAACTGGTGAAGTTAGCGAAGAAGAACTAAGAGAGCTCTTCAAGCCATACGGTGAAATAGCCGAAGTTTTCTGTAATTCAGAAAAGAATTTTGCATTCCTTAAAATGGACTATCATGCCAATGCTGAACGTGCAAAGCGCGAACTCGATGGCACAAATCGCAAAGGACGCGTTTTGCGTGTTCGTTTCGCCCCTAATGCCACAGTTTTGCGTGTCTCGAACCTTACACCATTTGTTTCGAATGAATTGCTCTATAGAGCATTTGAAATCTTTGGTCCCATTGAAAGGGCTATGGTCAATGTTGACGATCGTGGTAAATCTACCGGGGAGGGTATTGTTGAATTTGCCAAAAAGTCCTCAGCCAACATATGTCTGCGCTACTGCAATGAGAAGTGTTTCTTCCTCACTGCTTCATTGAGACCCTGTGTCGTTGAACCATTCGATTTGACCGATGACAATGACGGTTTACCCGACAAGTCGCTGAACAAAAAACTGTCCGAATTCAACCATGAACGTGGCATTGGACCTCGGTTTGCCGAACGTGGAAGTTTCGAACATGAATATGGCACCAGGTGGAAGCAATTGCATGAATTATTCAAGAGCAAACAGGAAGCTCTAAAACGTGAACTAAAAATGGAGGAAGAGAAATTGGAGGCGCAGATGGAATATGCTCGTTATGAGCACGAAACAGAACTCCTCAGACAAGGTATTTATAATTTTGTTGAAAAATGAATGATAGTATGGAAATAGTAAGTTTCAATTGAAATATGCATTTGCAGAATTGCGCAAGCGCGAGTCAGACAATGAACGCAAGAAAATGGAATGGGAAATGCGTGAGAAACAAGCTGAAGAGATGCGCAAACGCGACGAAGAACAAGTTCGCCGCCAACAGACCGAAATGCAATCGCGCATGTTGCGTCAAGAAGAGGAGATGCGCAGACGTCAGCAAGAAAACACATTGTTTATGCAAGCTCAACAGTTGAACTCATTGCTGGATCAGCAAGAGGGTGGCTTCAGTGGCAATTGCAATAACTTTGATGGCTTTGGAAACAACCCAAATCCATTCGATTTTAGAGGTATGTTGTTCGTTCTCCATACATTTATAAAACTTCATATTTCGTTGACGGCTAATCGGTTAATAATCTGCATACCTCTATACAAGATTTACTTAAAATTGTTTACATTCTTTCTGTTTACAGGCAATAACAATGGACCCAATGGTCCCAATGGCCCTAATGGTCCCAACGGCCCTAATGGCCCAAACAACCCGCAGGTACGTTCATTTTTCAATATGTTCAAAAGGAGAAGGCAATAGAGCGTTACTTTAAAACTGAAATAACTCAAAATTAAAGTCCACATCTTAAGATATTGATATTGGAAAAAAAACTGCATATTTGCTCTTCAAACTATTGTGAAATCAATTAAGAACGCCAAAAGCAATTGGCGATAGCAACTCTTCTCAGTTGCTCAGTAGCTCGTCAATATTGATGAAACAGTATTTTGTGTTATTCACAACAATCATTTTGTTCAGCTAAGAAAATTGTCAGAACAGTTGAATGGACATTTTATCTTATATATATATTCCTACAAGACTTTGGTGGTCTCTGCCAACAAACACATTGAACAAATAGCTTAGTAACCATTATAACCTGTTTAATTTTTAGTTTATTTTTTATTTTGTAAATACTTTTGTTTTGTGATTATATTTAGCGAATGTTAAACCTATGTCACAATATTGATTACATAGTTTTATTTTTAAACTCTCACCCAAAAGATTGTATGGTTCAAAAGAATCTGATTAGGAAACTATAAATTGTTTACTTTTAACTAACTTATAAATCAATAAATAAACAATTTGTTTATTAGTAGAAAACAAACGTATTCATTAAACATATCTAACTCGACCATTTTTCTACTCTCGTCTTCTTTCGCCATTGTCCAAGTCTGTTGGGCATCGTGGTGTATGTTCTTTCAATTTTATGGTTATTTTATTAAAACTCTATGCTACGAATTTCTATTAACAAAATGGCCAGTGTTAATACGAAAGAAACAATTGGATGTCGAGATACTTGAACGAACATGCATTGCTGATAATTCACAAATGATGGAAACATCAGGTCGTGGTTACAGTAAATGGTTCTAACCTCTTGCCATTACAAATGTTGGTAAGCATATTGTTTAAATATCGCGCCTCTATTGGTAGGAAATAACCATTAAGATTGGATTCCATATTCTCCACTAGCCAGACTGGGACATTCGTTAGTTCGCAAGAAGTTTACTTTGTATTTGCTGAAGCGCAACATACTTATACTTGTATGTCTGGAAATAATATTTTACTAACAACAAACTCACACATTCATCAATTTATATTGATGATGTGTGAACAACTTGAAAATATTTGGCTCTTCAAAATGTTAAATTGAACATTATTCTACGTCAAACACTTCTATGTTTATTGGGTTGATGGGGAATATAACACTAATGTCTTATGCTGAAAAAAAAAAGAAAATTAAATCACAATGTGGGGAACATTTGATACTTTGATACCTGATGAAAGTAGGAGGGGGATTTAGTTGGTACTACAATTTCCAACGAAAATTTTGTTGTTTGAATATTTGTCAAATGTCATTAATTACCTATGAATATTTGATAATTTTGGTAATTCGCAAATGAGATGTTAAAAGAAGCTTGTGCGGGTTCTACTGCCCTTGAGAATGCTAAATAATGGATTAACATAAAAGTGAAAGAATATAACGTCTCAAAACATAACATGAGCATGTGGTAAAAATGTGATATTTCACATTTCGATTTAAAATGAATTGTACATGTTATATTGAAAGGAGAAATTAAAGGTGCAAAGCACCTTCCTGGGGCCGCCCTAGGAAAATATATTTTTCTTGCGCATCATCGCATAGATGCGTCCTAGTGAGTGAGTCGGGTTTTAAGGTTAATTTGAAATAATTACCTTCTCCCGATAAGAAAATCATAAGCATATGATGTTCGCCTTAAAAAGGCATACACATTCAAAATTAAAAAATAATAAGTAATTATAACTATTCCGTAATTTGCGGACAACAAAGAGACAAACAATATTCTGTAGAATTAAATAGATCCATAGCGAACTATATAAACATATTCCTAACAAAAATCTTGCTGTTCATATCCTTATGGTGCTATGTTTAAAGCAAAATGTTGATCGATCTCAGAAAATTATAATTTCTTCCATTATGTATTTCATTCCATTTTGTATGCATCCCAGGGACTTTAGAACTTACTTGAGCTATGCACAATTAAATATTATTTTGCATTTTGAACGATGATAACGGAACATTCTAATATGCTCTAATTATGATTGTATGCAGCTTTGATGCTACTATTGTAAGCTGTTTATGCAACAGTTTATTAAGTCGATACGCACCATGCGCCACATAATTAAAAGCTGAATTTTTGCCTATTGGGATCTTGGATAATTTATGTAAATCTGTTGCATTGTGTCTATCGTATTCTGAGCACTTTGTACTACGAATACTTTACTATTACAACAATTAACATTTTGAAACTGAGTTAAAATTTTCAAGCATTTGTTTGGTATAATATATATTTCCTTGGTTTCTCTCTCGTCCTTTGCTTTTTCTTCAATTTTATCTTGTCATATAAATGTGTTGATCCTGTCTTTTCTTTGAAAATTTGATGAGCGATATTGATTGATTGCAAGTAAAACAATTGTTGATAAATTTGAATAATAAGAGCATAGAATGTTAAATTTTATTTTATATTTTCTTTTTTTTTGTTAATTTTTTGTATGATTTGTATTTTTGCTACTTCCAATGATATTTTATAACATCGTTGTACATTATTATGTATTTTTTACCACCTCAAAACTACCTTTAAATTTGCATCCTCTATATAGGATTTCGGATTTGAATTTGGTGGTAGCCAAAATCAACCAAGTGGCGGCGATAATGGAAACCGTGGTGGAGCTCAACGCGGTGGAAACAATGGCGGCGGTAACAATAATCCCTGGGAACGCCGAAGACGTTTCTGAGATGAAGCTACAGATGATTCGCCAATCTTGATGCATACCTAAATATTAACAGATAAAACTGAAAACAAAAAACTACAAATTTTTGGGACATTTTGGTGTGATTGATAAAAATTAGCATTGCAAACATAGTATTAGTTATACCTTTAAGGCCGGAACACTTTTGATCTAAATTGAAACTATAACCAACTTATATTCTTCATCCACTCCTCGGCAATGTATGAACAATGATCTTCAATTTCTTATAATTTGCATATCTGTATGTCTGTGTGTGCAACATCAGCCTTTGTTGGCATTAAGTTGTTTGTCCACGGCCACGAAAAGACATGCATCGCATCGTCGTCGTATATGTATAATAACAAGGCGAAACACGCGCGCACCTATGTAATAATTGAAGATCTCGCAGCTGTTTAGTTCTAGATGAATGTATTTATGTCCCCAAATTCACAAAATATGAACAACAAAACATCCATATAAAATGGACAACATATATGAGCGCAATATATATTACCAAATATATTTAAGACGCCGATATAACATCATCTACATGTTTCGGTTAGAAATAATAGGACTACCAATGAAATTACATGCTTAACCTTCGTCCTTTATTCCCTCATAAGGTGGTGTAGGATTGCAAGTACTAGCATGTTCTTTTATTTAAGTTCTTTTAATTCTGCACAGTTCATTCAGCTAATTTCAAATTAACAACAACTTAGTGGATATGTAAATGTATTTACATACAGATAACAATTTTAATCTCAAACGCTAGATTTAAGCTGGAGTCTATATATAACCATTAATTATTAACAAAAACTCGTAATTACAACCTAAATTTTAAACAAACATTTCAAAGCGGAACGCATTCATTCGTTCGTCTTGAGGAAAATAAGAAATACTTGAATATACAAATATTTTAATTTTTCACTTTTCAAATTTATAATTATGATATACTTTATGATCACCATGATGATGATTGTAAACAAAGTGGAAAATTTATTTCCATTTTTATTGATACACGTGAGAAATGAAAAATTTCTCTATAGTTTATAGGTTTATTTTTCCCTACTTTACACAACCCTAATATATATTTCATAACTATAAATGACAAAATATCAACAACAAAAGAAAAAAAGCAACAACATAAATGATACTCAAAGAAAACTGAGTATGTTAAAAAAATAACCATAATTGTTTCTCTTTCTAAGATTGGGGTATATGATCGCAATCGGCAGCCCAATGGCTGTTGATGTCAGAATTGGGTATCTTATGGATGATATGATAAGGCGGGTGATATGGGGGTTACAATGAAGTTTTCATCTATTTCAATGATATATGTGTTGTGTGTGTGTGAATGTGAATGTGATGGAATGAAACAATATGAATAGTATAAATGAAAAAGGTGTATTAATGAAATTGACATTGTCTGGCAGTTGTATTTATTTTAGCGTTTTTGATTATTTTAAACTGTAAGAAACACGTTCATAAATAATTTGTTGTAACATTAACATTCGCTTTATTTTAGTTGTATTTAAAATGCAGATAAACGAATATTCAGTCATACTACGCTTGGCGTTGTAATGCTCCGAATGATCTCGTACATTTTTAAATTTTAGGGGGTTACAATCAACCATCACAGAGTTGAAAGAATGTTGTTTTCGAGTTGGAAAACAATTTTTTTAGGAAACGGCAAAACTATATTGAGGTCTTGATTGGCTCGATTGACAAACTTGCATTTACAAAAGAAATAATATAAGTTGAACGCTTTTTTTGGAAAAGTTGTTTTTATAAAAACATCAATAATGGAATAAGCCTGACCATTTTGCTACAACAAAATACTATAGTATCCCGAACAAACATGCCAATACTTCTCTGGAAATTGTTCATATTTATACACCAAATACGAATTGTACTCCATTTAAATATTTATATACTAAAATGTATCATTTGGTACAACTCAATTTTTTGTTTATTTTTATTTGAAATTTATTCATTGCCAACTGAGATATCGATCTCATCGATTGTTGAATAAATTATTTGTAGATCGATTCTTTTCTCATTCCTGAAATATAGCTTTCCATTCAATATTTCTTGTAATGACTTTCACGATACCGAGTATCTAAATACTTTCCATGACGACCTTGTCAAGTGATGCGCATTGTGAGGTTCGCTTTGAACTTCAAGTTGTTGCTTAATATGGTGTTAAATATACAATACTAATGATGTTTGTCAAATACGATGCAATATTTGAAATTAAAGAAAAAGGGAAAATTTTGGTGATTTTATTTCTGATTGAGACATTCAATCGTATTGGAAGTAAAACATACGAATCTGAATTTTGGAGCATATAATTTTATCATTAACTTCTTGGCGTCACTGTTTTATGCGTGTTTTAATGTGACATATATCTATCTGATATAATTGAAAAATCTGAACATTAATGTACAATGAAGCTTTTTTAAAATTCACGATTGCCTATAAGGACGCTATAATATTTCCTTTAATGTATTTTGTAATGAATGACTTACTGTAGAAAGACAACTTGGAAATTTTTGGAGTCGTGTATGCATATGATGTTTGGGTGTGTTTGAATAATTGTGTATGTGTGTGTTCGTGTGTGCGTCTTAAATGATGATGAGTTTGCCTAAGTAGGAATGAAGTTTGGTTGTGTGTAGAAAACGATGACGAAGGATGAATGTATGGACGTGTAGTTATCATAATTTCAGTATACATTGCACTGATCGCCAACATATTGGACGTTAACAGAATTAATGAAATGGATTTTTTTGGAATAAATATGGATCTACAAATTACGAAATATACAAGGATAAACATGGGATCGAACAACTCTCCTCTACTCAACACATTTTTTGTGAACATTGTAGCCGAAGAAGCTTTGTGCATACTTCTACCATATAAAATATTAACAAATTGCTGATGTCACAACATTAACTCTCACCTGTACTCAAATAATAATGTTGAAGTGAACACATAATTTGTGTACACCTTTGCCAATCAAATGATATTTTTATTTCACATGAGGTAAGATTTTTTATAACAAATATTTTTTTAACCCGAATCTTGCCCTATTCAATGATTTAGGTTTACCCTCCAAATTACGTTTTCTCTAAACGAATATTTTTAGCATAAGAAATCGCAATGTGACAAAATCAAATAGCAACACAAGGGTAGTTGATTTGGGCTACATACATATCCGCCCCCCTCCCAGCAATACCATCAACACCTGTCTTGTCAAATGTTATTGATTTTGTTTTATTGTCTGGTTTGTGATTATGTGCTTAGTACAAACTCTCTGAAGTTAAGGGGGCAAAGATTCGGGTTACAACAAAAATATACTAAAGCTGAAACTGAAAATGAGTAAAAGCATTATAGCTAACTAAATTAAATTCAAATATCCGGATATCTCAAAATATGATTTTGTATTAAGGCCCCGATACAAATAGAGTGAACTACTGAATGCAGAAATACTACTTTGTTAGATGCATAAACTATTAAGGTTTATACATTTTTGAATAGCAAAATGCTTTAAATGGCATATGCATGCCCCCCTCAATGTTACTTTTTCCTTCTATCTTTATTCATATATTCTTTAGTGTTTTATGATGGAAAGCAATACTTTTCCGTTCGATTTTTCTGTATTCATCAAATGGACCCCATTACTCCAACGCCTATTTCATTAAAGGTCGTTATTCAATTATTGAAAAATTAACTTTTGTCTTTGAGACACCCCGAAAATAATATTCTGTTTTTATGAAAATGTTTGAAACTCATATTAAATGTTTAGCAAAACGATCTGAATTGCTTCGAAAATATTGCAAAATCAAGATTGAGCTACTTGACTTTCTATTTGAGCCATTCATTAGTGACGTTGTCTTTTCTATTAAGTTTAAAGTACCATTTTTCTTTTGATGGATAAGTGATAAACTTCTGTTGCTTTAATTGTCATAAAGGCAAGAAACTTGCAATGGAAGATAAATTGTGATATTTTAAATTCTTCGTGTACACAGTGTATTTTTATTCATAGAATACATCAAATTCCCTTGAATATAAAAATTCTTTTTGCACGCCTCATAAAAAATCGAAATGAAACAAAATAAAAAACAGTAAAGGAAATCTTACAACACACGAGTTCTTAACTCTGATTGTTAGCCTGTGTACTGGTCCGAATTAGACAATAAATTTTCTGTTTCTAAACAACGACCTAATGTATGGCTTGATTAGCATAAAATAAAAACGACAATGTAAAAAAAATGTATGGATATTAATGAATTTTTCTTATAAAATTTCAGTATGGATGCGAGGAATTTGGCGTGTTGTTGCTATGAAATCTACATCGGATGAGGAAAAAGGTATGTATATTTGTAAACGTATGACAACGTCTACAGCGAATTCATAAATGCAGCAATGTAATGCTCTCATGGTGAAATCTTGATTCTTAATATATCCCAAATATGTTAATAACATCACCTACAGGCAGCCGTACGTTACTGCATTCGTGAAGTTTTCATTATCTATGATTATAATAACGGATCTAATTCCTGAACGACTTCCCAATGTTTTATACCATGTTGATTTGTTTAAATGAGAACCTCTGCAATTACATACATCTACTCTTTTTTTATTTGTTGACTTGTTTTTAATTGATTTATGCTTGTACTTTTTGCTTTTAGATACTATAATTGTTTGGAAATGTGTCAGCGCCCACGATCGAGCCTCAATTTAATAAGGTAATTATAAAGTTATACCTGGTACATATTTGGCTAACTTCCAAAACGGCAGTTGCTTCGTATGCGTATCCGATTAGAAATTAGAAACATCGCTTTCAATAACGTTGCATTTTTACCAAACATTGCCTCAGTGTGCAATGCATATCCTGTTGGAGAAATGTTTAATCGCCTACAAAGTATCGAATCGTTGTAGAAGTCAGTCTTTCATTCAATGATTAAAATCAACGGATCTAATTCCTGAATAAAATCCCTTACATTTTTAGTTATGTTGAATTGTATTTATGAGAAAGAGAGTATTCTAAACTATATACGAATATTTCTAGTATGGATAAATTCATATGTGTTTTATTTCTTCTAGATTTGCTGCCGAGAACAGTGTCGTCGTCATTGCTTCTTATAAACGATGAAAATCCAGTTTTCCATTTTGATCTAAGGTAAATAAATGTGAACTCATTTTTAATTGTGTGCTCAACTAACCCTTAAAGTAGCTATATAGCTACCCATCATTTAATTCAATGATTATAACTTTGGATCTAATTCCTGAACATTCCCTTACCTATTAAAAAATACTACCATGTTGATTTATATAAATGAGATTTAAATCAGATTCTAATTTTTAATGAAACAAGTGTCAATACTAAGTTAAGTTTTCTTTATATTTACAGATTTATTGGGATATTCGATTTTGGCCACATTGCAATTGATGAAATATGTAAAAAGGTAATTGAGTAATTTAATATATTTTAACCAACAAAAAGTTACGTCTTTGGGGATTTTTGTATTTTCAATAATATACAATAAATTAGGGTCCAGCAATTAGCAGAACAAAAATCAAAATTAGAAAAGAATACATTTTATTAATTCACATTTGCCCAGATTTCATTCTTAATATCGGAGAGGTACTTGTTTTACAACAAATGAAAAGTATTCATTCTTTAGTTATCGCGAGGAGTTGAGACTCGTGCTGTGTGTTTGTGGTAGTGGCGTTAACATTTGCTAAATCGATTAGCGAACTCTCGACATTGTTTCAAGTAAAAATAGTAATTTAGCAGGAAGACAAATGTTATTTATCTTTTCTTGGGCTTAAACATATAAAAATTGAGATTTTACATTCTTCAAAATAAAAAATTCTCCCAGTGCTGTTAGTTATTGTGTAGTCCTCGAATGAGGGTTTTTTAGTCAGTATATGAGAATTAAAGTAGCTGAAAAATGTAGCTAAAATTCTCACAATACCTGTGCTATATACAGGGTGAGATGAAAAAACTGCAATAAAAGCAAACGTCGTAATTTTTAGATTTTTTTTAAATGAAAGCAAAGAATGTCGGAAATATCAAAATTTACATTAAGTTGAGATTTGTTCGAATTGGTCACTCGTGGCCTTCAAACCCCGAGTTCATTTTTTAATATTTGCCGGATGGAATATTGCGATATGTTGAGCTCACGAACCATTTTACGGCCATTGCGACACGGGTTTTGATCAAATCGCTTCTTTATTTTTCGAACCATTTCTGCTGATGTTAATATTTTCTTCCGTTCACTTCCTTGACGTCGGGCTACGCTACCAGTATCATTGTAACGAGCGATGGTACGAGACACAAGGTATTTATTCGCATTTAAATGCTGGAGTGTTCTAACGATAGCCACTTGTGGTCTTCCAGCCAAATATAAAGAAATCACACTATCACGCTTGAGTTCCATCACGAATAACTGTTTTTCTGGAAAATTCTTAACGAAATGCTTTTGTACGCTTGTAATATAATGAGCTGTCACTGCAATAATTTCAACAGCTGTCGGACGAGTGGCTTAGATATGACAGCAGTCTGAAGTTGGTTGCAGTTTTTTAATCTCACCCTGTGTAGATTCTGTAAAAAACGGAAACTTACTCTGACAATTTCCTGTAATGAATTTAATGATAATACGACTGAAAATCCGGGATGGCAATTTTCTACCAGTAATATAGCAAAACATCTTTATGTAATCAACTAACTATGGATTTTATCAGGTAGTTTCTTTATGGCGTACACTTTTCATAATATAGTTGAAATTTTAACATGATGATAATAGTTACCGTATGATATAAACAATGACTATACATCATTCGGCTGCGCTTTATTGCGTTCTGATTAAAGTCCAAAGAAAATGCATCCGAAATCTTATTCAGAGCGTGTTCTAAATTAGATTTTTGTTTTCTATTTTCAGAACCATTTACGATTTTTGGGGTTGCATTTGACTTGTTTGTTCTACGTGAAACAGAGGTTAGTACATACTACTAGTTGTAGTAAGAATATATTGTTTTAAATGATGACAAAAGTTACCGTATGATTAAAATAATGACTATAAAACCTTCGGCTGCGCTATATTGCGTACTGATTAAATCGAATAATTATTTGTATGAGTTGCATCTTGAATCATTTTATAATGGACAGTGTTTTTTCTTATATTTCTAGTTTATGAATTCAATGAACCTTGAGTTCCATCAATATATGACAGAAGGAGGAGTAATGAGGTGAGTCAACATACATTTAAATTGAAGACCGTATTTTAATCCATTAAATGAAGACAAAAGTTACCGTATGATCAAGCAATGACTATACGATTTCGGCTGCGCTACTTTGCGTACTGATTTTTTGCCTCATTATAGATAAATAACATAGATATATCCATGTGATAACAACTTTTTTTATGTCAATTTCAGAATGTGTTAGCAAAAAGGAGAAACGAACGATGATGATCATGATGTTCGACTGGAAACTATAAATTGGAATGGTAAGTTTATATATATAACTCAATTGATGAATTAAAAAATTCCTTTAATTTGTTATTTAATGATGAAATTAATTGGTCCGTGTTTATGAATTTTAATTGATTAGCCTATTCCAATTACTGATTAAAACATTTTTAGTATATTTTGAACACAAAAATAAATTTTATTGAGAATAATTATTTACATTTGTTTATTGTTTTCAGTTGCATTTGCTGGCTCGGCTTTTACTCTCCTAAAATCGAGAGACGTTTCAAGAGAAGGTACTACTATTGATTTACTTTCATAATATATATTTTATAATGCACACACCAATGATCTTATATTTCGTTTTCTAAACTAACTTTTCCCCATTGTTATTCGGGAAAAGTTTAGTTTATTATGCCTTATAAATAAATTTCTTTCTTTTATTTAAATTTGTTTATTGCGTATAATATACAAAGTTTCTGTTCTGCTGTAGTATAAATCTAAATCATATGTAAACCCAATGATTAATATGTGCTTAAAGTTAAGAGTTAAAATTACTATTTCATTAATATGTGAGTGTTGCTGAGATATTCGGCATTTTTGCTTAAAATTTAAATTAAAAAATATTAAACATTTTTTAATACACAAAACTAAATATATTTTTTCAACTTCTAAAAATACAACAATATGATGAAATATTAAACGAAATAATGGGTCAAGTGGTTAAGTGATGAGTTTAATTGGTCCGTGTTTATGAATTTATTTTGATTATCTCCTTCCAATTACTGATTTTCACTGCTAAAGCAGCTTTTTAATATCTTTTTAAATATGTCCATTTTTGTAATTTTAATTTCTTTATTTTATTATTTTGTAGGTGGAAACGTGTGTACACACAATTTTGAATGTATTTGATAAAGTATAATGTAAGTATATACAATTTAATGATTTTTAAATGTATTTTCGTGATGATATTAATTGGTCCGTGTTTATGAATTTTAATTTGATTTTATTCTTCCAATTACTGATTATTTTATTAGTAGTCTGTACCAGTAGCAATATCATCAGATTGTGAACAATATAACAATAATGAATGAACTTCTTTATTTTCAGATGATCTCTACACATTTGTTGCGATAATTTGGATGGAATTCTGTGGATTTATTATACCACCCTAGCATACAAGCAAGATGTTTGTGTCACATGATAGAATAATACAGTTAGCCGTATCAGAACACCTAGTCAAGACTGTCAAGATATTTTTGGAATTGATCTTTTTGAATGAAAAAGTATTTAAATTAGTTAAATTTGTGAAAAGCTAAAGCAACAACCTTTGAACTGCATCATCGTAAAAGAAAATATGTAAAAATCATTTTTTTTTTTGCAGAAACTTAAATATTTTTGACATGTTAATGTTCCCAAGTGAGGATGCATATACCTGTATTATTCTATCACGGCTTGTCACCAGTGTGCTTTTAACTGAGAATCATAGTTCCGAGTGTACATTTGTAATATGTAAAAATTTTGTACGAGATATTTTTGGATAGTCAAAGTCCCACTTTACCACACAGCCGGTCTAAATTCCATAGACTCTCAAATGCAAAAACGGACGATTTAAGAGTCAAAGACAACCGGTTTTATTTATAGTCTACTTTGGTTCAGAATACCGTTTTGCTTTTAACCACAACTTTTATTACTTGATGTAGCCATACTAAAATTGCAAGGAGTTAATTTAACAGAGCCACTCTAATATGCATTTTAGTCCAAGTCGTGAAATAAGATATTTAACAGTTCATTTGTCTGATTTATAAAGCGTATACAACATTGTAGGAGTTTAATTATTGCACAAGAATATATTTGGTTTTATGTTGACATAATAGAATATACTACACTTGATTCGTACACAAAACAAATGAAGCAATTTGGAACACCTGTGCGGACACAAAACATCTTGCCTGTTTGCACGACCTTCAAGCCTTGGTCACCATTTCTCAAAGGTGGGTTAAAATATTCTTTTTTAAATACGCTCTTCTTTGAATCAAAATTGAACATTTTGAAATGTTCTCTTCCAAAAAAAATTATGATGAAAACATATATTCAATGTCTTCTTTTCCCGACATAATCATACTTTTTGATGATAATTATAGAAATCTGATTATTTTTTGAAAACAGACTTTGAACCAATACTCATCTTGTTGGCAACGTTAATAAGGCTCCTTTTTTTATTTTTCAGGTATGTCAACAACCCACCTGGAACACCTGTGCAAACCGCGAGACACAAAACATCTTGCCTGTTACACGACATTCAGCCTGAAAAAATTACTCATTGGTTTTCATTTCTCACAGGTGGGTTAAAATATATTTTAAATACGCTCTTCTTTACATCAATGTTGAAAATTTTCTCTTACAAAAAATATTTATGATGAAAACATACATTCAAGGTCTTCTTTTCCCGACATAATCATACTTTTTGATGATAATTATAGAAATCTGATTATTTTTTAAAACAGACTTTGAACCAATACTCATCTTGTTTGCAACGTTAATAAGGCTCTTTTTTATTTTTCAGGTATGTCAACAATCCATATTCTTTGGTAACTGTTAAACAAATGAGGATATTTTTTTAAATATAGTCTTCTTTTCCCGACATAATTACAACTTTTGATGACAATGTTTAAAATCTGATAATGCTAGTCTTAGTTTATTTAAAATTTATTTGTAGTAAAGTATTGTTTTAAAAATATTTTTATTTTCCATTTACAGGTATGTCTTCTTTGCTGTAATTTTTATTTTACAAAATAAAATTGATTCGTATTTTCCAATTAAAAATATTTGTTTTATTGCCATATTTCTCGAGATGCTAGTATTCTAATCCCAATCGCGCAGATCCTCTTGTAACTACACTTAAAACAAATTCAATTTCGCCATATGACTCCATCAACAAACCTAGAACAAACACATGTAAAAAGCGGTAAGTTCGGCCGGGGCCATCATTGAATACCCTCCACCATTTAGAACAATTTTTGCAATTTCAAAAAAAAAAAAATTAAATCCGTTAAAAATTCTATTAAAACCTTAAAAATCCCGAATGTAGCCCTTGTTTTCAGTCATAGGCTGTAGTACTCATTACGAACTTCAAATAACAAATTTGAAACATTTCCAGTGAATAATGTCGCATAAATCACCAAAACACCGAAAAAGGGAGGTACCATTAAATGGGGGCTATACAAAAACGTGGACCTACATTGCCAATTTCCAGTACCAAAAGTCGTGCAGACATAATACACATTTGAGTAAAATGTTATCAACCTACTTCATTTCGTTCGGAAGCTAGAGTGATTTCCACAGACGGATAGACGGACAGACGTCTATCCTAAATCGACATAGAATTTAATGCTGAACAACAAGAATATATATACTTTGTGGAGTCTAAAATGTATATTTCGAGGTGTTACATAGGAATGACAGAATTGATCTGTACAGGAAAATTTCTGTCATAAGAAATAGTAAATTTAGGTTAAAATTGGTACTACAACAAACAATGGACCCATATAGCATATTTTCATTATCAAAAATCCTCCAGACCTAAGACACATCTGTGTAAAATATTCTCAATCTACTTCATTTCGGTCGGGATTTTGGTAAATCGACATAGAATTTTGTGCTGATCAGAAATACATGTATTTTGTGGGGTCTAAGGTGTTACAAACGGAATGACAAATACCACATACCCTCCATACTATGGTGGAGGGTATAAAATACGATATCTTCTGCCTGCACAAAATTCTCTTAATCAAGAAATAATCCGAAATAATTACTGAAACGCCTTGAATTGAACGACGCATTGAAAAAAAAAGAAAATTGTCTATTTAAAACGAATTATCTTACCCTTGCTTTTGGTATTATCGAGCAATATTTTTGGATCTTTTAGCTCTGGATTGCGGCCCGTAACCCAGCTAGTTAGTTCAGCCAGAGTGTTGCTGCACAGTGGTTTCAATATGGGTGCTTTTATGCGCTGATTGCTTTCACTGCCAAACATTGGGACATGCAGACGGCTATAGCCTAGGGATGTTTCAATACCCCATCGAGTTTTGCCGTAAAGACAAACTATTATTTGTGGCCCTGTAAGTCGAATATGCGTAAATATTAACAATTTAAATGTTAAGGAATCAAAAACTTACAACCAAATACGTTTGTGCTGCGATATGTCAATTCGATGGGCATGTTAAATACAATGGGGTCGTTGAAATTGCCATTGCGATTTGAGGCATATTGGGTAATGCCGTCCTTCGATCCACTGACAAGTTCCCAATCCAGCCCTGCGAAACATTCATAGCGGCACAGTATATCGGATGCATCAGGACCCAAAGGAAATATTGTAGAATTCAAATGTCCTGTAATGAAGATATTGAAATAACTGGCAGCTGTTGTGTTCGTCTCCATTTTTGTTTTTTACTACTGCACTTGTGTTTTTTATTTTGAATATCATTTCCGTTGCTATGACAACAGAGAGGAGGGTGATTTTATAATTAACCGATGATTACACATGCAAGTAACCATGGTACAATAAAAAGGTAAATGGTAATTTTTTTCTAAGTGTATCCGACTTTTGCCAATTTTGTGTATGTATTTATGGTTTTGAAAAAAAACAGAATATTTTTAAAATCAGTGATTGGAAGACGAGTAAATTGCGCTAGCAAGGAATTGAAAGATAGAACTGTTTAGATCATATTTTTGAAAAAAAAAACAGACATTTCCTTAATTTTTCCCGCTGATTATCTGATTTTAAAAATGAGGAAAAATATTGAATGAATGAAAACAAATTGTTGCATTCAAATTTGACAGGAAGCAGGCAAAGCCTCAAGGCTGCATTTCTGTAGATTTACGAAGCTTTTTTGGGGCTTTGCAAATTATAAAAGTGTTTTCCATATTGTTGGGCAAAAATATGTTCACATTGTCCTGTAGTGAAATTTTATATCCATAAAGTGTATACCTTATGGTACAATGAAATAAAGCCCTGCATTGATATGTCAAAAAATTGTAAATGTTTTTTTTAAATATAAGTAGATTTTTATATGTTTTCTTATAAGACGTCATACGGAGCTTATTATAATCCGCGTTTTTCAACAATTTTTGCGAATTTAAAAAATTTTTCATTCAACATTCTCAATTCCAAAATTGGTTTGACAGTTCATTGTCCCAGCAGCTGTGTCGATGCGTCTACCTCTATTCTTCTACCATGGTAGGGCAGAACTACCATATGATTTTGATTTTTTTATTTTTCTGGCTTAATATGTCAACTTCATTTGTTTATGTGTGCATTCTTTTCAATAATAAAAAAATTGTTCAGAAAATATTCAAATTCGGGTGTTTTCAAAATGCTTTTGAAAAGAAATTTTGACTTTTCATTAAGTTTTCGCCTTTTTAAATTATTTATTCAAAATCAATGCAACAAGTTGTTTGCTCTTTTATTGTTTTGATAGTAATTCTGACATTACAAGCCCAACAGGTAGACCTCCATACTTGCAATTTTTTCAAAGTTAGCCTACCTTGTATTCATTGTACCATGGGTATACCTATTGTATATCAAGAAATGGAATTAAATCACAAAACGTCATATCGCACACACTAGTATTACTATAGAGTCAAATCAGCTGGGACTTGCAGTTACCTGTAATAATTATACCATGATGTAGGCCCTGGTAAAACTTTTTACTATGACCGATTTGTGCTTTATGATACATAAATATGAATACATGTGTTTTACAATGAAATAAAGGTAACCTCATTTCAAATTAGCATTCCCAGCTCTGCATTTTCTGTAATTTACGTTGTCAAATTTCAATGCATAAAATACAGTTCCCATCTTTGATTTTGTGTATATACTATGGACTTATGAATATAAATTTTGACAATGAAATGTTGTCAAATGTATAAATTTGAAAAAATTGTAAATATATGACTAAATGACTTTACCTTCTTAGTTCTACCATGTGTTTTACTTGGGTGGTGAAAATCGTCGACTCAGTACGCGAAGTTTAGGTTGCTCCGTAAGCTTGGTAAAATAAAGAAGAATACAGATTCCCATCCCTGATTTACATGAGTACAATGGATTTATAAATATAAATTTTGACAATGAAATGTTGTCAAATGCATTCATTTTGAGAAATTTTTTTAATATATAATTGTATGACTTTACCTTCTTTATTCTACCATGCCCCTAAGGTTGGACAAGAAGACGACTTTTGACAACAATTCGACAATCAAGCATGGTGCAATAAAAAGGTAAAGTAGATCTACCAGCTGATTACAATATTTTATGTACCTTTCTTCTGCCAATTTTGTGTATGTAGGGTAAGTGTACCAGTAGTCGGCACTTTTAGGATTTTCGATTTTTATACCCTACACCACAAGGTGGTCAGGGTATTATGAATTTGTGCGTTTGTTTGTAACAGGCAAAAGGAAACGAGATAGACCCTTAGTTCCTTTTGATGATCTGCATAGAATCACTTTCTGAGTTGATTTATGCATGTCAGTCCGTCTGTCCGTCCGTCCGTCCGTCTGTCCATGTATTCTTGTGAACAAAATGCAGGTCGCATTTATTATCCGATTGAGATGAAATTTTGCAAACAATATTTGTTTGGCCTAAGGACGAACCCTATTGAAATTGGAGATAATCGGTAAACATTTAGATATAGCTCCCATATATATGTTCGTCCGATTTGCCTTTTATTGTGCACCAAACGTGTAATATCAGCCCGAATAGTATGGAATTTTGCACATACAACCAAATTAGGCCTGAAAATAAGTATGCCAAATTTGATCGAAATCGGTTCAGATATAGCTATAGCTCCCATATATATTGTTCATCCGATTTGTTATTTTTGTCCTCCGCAGCCGTAATATGCACTCTGTAACAACAATATTTGAGGAAATATATCAAATACAGCTCAGAAATACATTTGCTAAATTTTATCTAGATCGGTTCAGATTTGGATATAGCTCCCACATATAACTTCGTCCGATTTACCTTTGATTGTGCACCAAACGTCTAATATTTGTCCAAATTGGATGAAATTTGGCACTTACGATCGAATTGAGTCTAGAAGCTAGTATGTCAAATTTGGTAAAGATCGGTTCAGATATAGCTATAGCTCCCATATATACTGTTCATCCGATTTGTCATATTTGTTACCCACAGCCGTAATATGCACACCGTAACAACGATATTCAGGGAAATATATCAAATACCGCTCAGAAATATCTTTGCCAAATTTCATCGACATCCGTTCCGATTTGGATATAGCTCCCATATATATTTTTATCCAATTTCAAATTAATTGTGCACCAAATGGGCAATACAAGTCCGAATATAAAAGATACAAATGCTTCGGCATATTTAGTCCGTTGGACATTAAATTATAATTATAATCATAGCGTGTATGATTGAATTTTCCCATAAAAACTTTTAATTGTTATGTGGAGCTCTACTAAATTAGCAAAGTGGTGTAGGGTATCATAAAGTCGGCCCGCCCGACTTTAAGACTTTCTTTACTGGTTCAATCTTTCAACGTTCTGAGTGAAATCTTTCAATTGCAGAAAAATAAAGTTGTTCAGATTCCAAATTTTGTTTACTTTTCGAAAAAATGAACAAATATTGAATTTGTTTTTATTAAATTGGCAAAATTTGCTATGTTACTAAAATAGTAGTTTTTGCCAGTAGTCGGCACCTTCTTCCAATGCTCGGCATGTCTATTTGCCAGTAGTCCGCATATGGTATTTCAGTAAAAAAATATTATTATGTATATTTTTTTATTTCAAATAGTATAAAACAATGCTATAATACTAATTCACAGTTTAATCCAGAATTTGAAATGTATTTCTTTTTTAAATAGTGTATTATTTATTTATCATTCTAAACCAAATATAGGTAGAAAATCAAGAATAGTATGGTTACCTTCAGTAACGTATGGATTTTCAATTAAAATAAAAATGAGGTTAGAAAAAGAAAAAATTACCTTTCTTATATTTGGAATTTGTGAACTGATCTTTTTCCTTCAGATAGCCAACATTTTTTTTTTTTCAAAAATGCCACCGCTATCTAAAACGTCAAATATCTGATTTAAAAAACCTACTTAATTCAGAAAAGTTTGTCAAAAAGCACAAATAAAAGCAGCTGCCGACTCAAAACTTTTTATTTGAGTAGTTTTTGGATTATTTTTAAATACTTTTCACAAGTTTTGGTGAAATTGGTCAATTGGAAATTGCCGACTACTAGCAAATCTTTTTTTTCTGTTCCTAATGTCGGCATTAAATAATATAACAGAAAAATGCTTGATTTGTACGTTTTTATTAAGTTATAAAATGATCTTTAGACTGTTATTTACTATTATAAAATATTTCTGATTCCAAAAGAATTAAATTTAATTGACTTAAATCGATTATTAAGTTGACGCTACCACTATTTTTTTCTCTACAAACAAGCACTATCGCACGCGTTTTAAGACACTCATTGACGAAAACCGTTATTATCTCGTAATAAACGATCGGAGCTCATTATTTTTTTTTACAGAAAGAGAGCAGAGGACCCTGTTGAGTTTTTTTGCAATTATTTCATTTTTTGGTCAATTCTATTCTTAGTTATTTAAGTTAAAATTTCAAAACTGCCGACTACTGGGACATGCCGAACTTAGGCGCACTTAGGCTGGAAATGCATAAAGCGCATATTTGGCTGGCTTCTTCGTAGATGAACAAAGGAGTTTTAGGTTGACCTAGTTCGATTTTGGCCCTAGGCTCCTTTGTTCATTTCCGAAGAAGCCAGCCGATGACTTAAGCCAGCCAAATTACCGCTTAATGTATTCCCAGCTTTACCCTATTCATTGTTTTGAAAAACAAAGTATCCATGGTAGAAGAATATAGGTAGACGCATCGACACAGCTGCTGGGACAATAAACTGTCAAACAAATTTTGGAATTGAAAATGTCGAATGAAAATTTTTTAAATTTTTTAAAATTGTTGAAAACGCGCATTATAATAACCTCCGAATGTAGTCGTATAAGAAAACATATAAAAATCTACTTATATTTGAAAATATATTTTAATTTTTTTGACATATCAATGTTCCCAAGCGTTGATGCATCTACCTGTATTTTTCTACCATGGTATTTTCATAATCAAAGATTGGAAGAAACGTAAACGTACAATTTTTATACCCTACACCACAAAGTGGTCAGGGTATTATGTCTTTGTGCATTTGTTTGTAACAGGCAAAAGGAACGAGATAGACCCACAGTCCCTTTTGATGATCTGCATAGAATCACATTCTGAGTCGATTTATGCATGTCCGTCCGTCCGTCTGTCTGAAGTATGCCAAATCGGTTCAGATATAGCTATAGCTCCCATATATATTGTTCATCCGATTTGTTATTTTTGTCCTCCGCAGCCTTAATATGCACTCTGTAACAACAATGTTTGGGGAAATATAACAAATACAGCTCAG